TTTACGGGGGCACACGCCCCCACGTGTACTATACGTGTACGACACGTATACAGTCAGCCCCCCCCACCTCCCCCCCTTCTTCGCAGCCCGCGATCCCGCGCGATGGCGACGCCGACGCCCGGTTCGAAGGCGCCCCCGTCGTCCGCGGTGGTACGCACGCTCGTGCGCGGCACGTTTGAGAACCCGCAGCTGAAGCCTCTCGTCTTCCTCCTGCGCTCGCTCTGCCCGGAGTCGGGCAACCTGGGCGAGTTCGGCGACTGGGACCGCGTGTACAACAACCCGCCGGACGTGCGCGGGCCGAAGAACCTCATCCGTCTGCGCCACCATCTCGTGCACCCGGGGCTGTCGCCCGCGCAGCACGAGCCGTGGGCAGACGTGCAGCTGCGCTACCTCGGCGTGCCCGACCGCCGCGTCGTGGCGCCGTGCGAGAAGCGCACCATCACCACGGTGGGCATGGGCAAGGAGGCCCGCGCGCTGCTGGACTTGTTCGGCTGCGTTTTTCAGTACGAGTACGTGCGCAAGGGCGTGCGGTACCGCACCAGGCAGGGCTTTACCGTCGATGTGTACATCGTGCTCAAGATGACAAAGAGGCATGACACGTCCAAGGAGTCGCTCGCGCCGCTGGTGGACGATCCGCAGCACGAGCCGTGCGTGGTGGAGGTGATCTCGGAGGACGGCGCGAGCGTGGAGGAACTCATGGCCTTCATGCGCATGCTGCTGCCTTACGTGACATTGAGAGGGCCGCCGCCGAAGAAAGGCGCGCGCTGAAGGGGCGCGGCTAGTCGCCGCCTTGTTTATTGTTGATTTGTGCTCGCGTTCGAAGCGCGGCGAGAGATAAAACTGTACAATTTGTGTGTTTTGTGATTTGCTATTTGCCCTTTCCTTATTCTCGTTGGAGTCGAGTCGCGCCGCACCTGACATGCATAAGATAGGAAGGATACAACAAACAAGTGCGCTGACGCTCAAACAAAGCACCTCATGACCGGCATGAAGAATGTGTCCTTCTTCAGCAGCGGGCGCGACCCGCCCTTCCTCCCCATCCTCCACCTCCTGCTGCTTTTGCCGCTCTCCTGGCTGCTGCTCCTGTGGCTGCTTCTGTGGCTGCTCCTGGCGGTGATTCTCTGTACCACCACGCTGCGCTGCGCGTCGCCCTCCCTCGCCTTCTTGTCGAAGTTGCCGACGCTGAAGTTGACGAAGGAGTCGTCCTGCAGCTCGAGCGGGTCGAACGCCGCGGCCCCGCCCGTGGGCTCCTCCGCGTAGTGGTCCGCGTCGCGGATAAACCGGCGCAGCAGCAGGCCGGCGTGGCCGCGCGACCCCGTCGTGACCAAGCACGGGTCCGCCGACAGCGACGAGGCGTCGTCCGGGAACCACGGCGTCGCGTACGAGCTCGCCACCGACAGCGTCATCGAAGCCTTTTCTGCGCGGGCGTGCGGGTGTCTCGCGGTGCAGCAGGCGAGCGCATCCGGTAAGCACCCCGCGCCCGGGCGCACGCGCCTTATAGCCCCCCTGCGGGCGGGCGAGCGCACGGGTAAGCACCCCGCGCCAGGCAGGCGCACGCGCGAAACCCCGCGCGCGCCTGCGCGCGCGAGCACGCCCCGCCAGCTCGTACTCGCTGGAACAGCCCCGGACGCGTTCCCGACGCGCGCGCGCGGCGCGGGCGTGGTCTTGTTTACGGCGCGCGCGCAGCGCCACGATGGCTGAAAATTGATTGTTTTCACGCTCGTCGCGCGAGGTGGCGCAGATCTGTCGCGAGATTGGCGTGTACGACTAACCCCGCGCGCGCCTTCTGCGCGGGACCTGCCATGCGCGGCACTCTCCCCCCCCCGCCCGCCCCCGCAGCGACGCAGCGAAGGTCGCTCGAAACACTGAGAGCGGTGTTTCCCCGCGCGCGTAAATTACCTCCGCCGAGGTGCGAGCCGGCCCGAGCGCGGCCATCTGGCGCGGCGCCCGCGCGCGGCCGTGCCCGGAAAGGCCGCTGTCGAGGCGGCTCGCAGCGGCGCGGAGGTGCTGCGCGGCGTGCCGAAATAGCGGCGCGGACTCCCCCTCCCCCCGCGCTGAGCTTCTGAGCTTCGTACGTGCAACGGATAGAAACTCGCCCGGCACACGCGGAGAGTGCCGTTCAGCTTGCCGTTGTCGATACGTCGCGCCGGCCGGCGGCGCCTTATCCCCGCCCGTGCGCGACGCTGCCAGCCGCGGCACGCGCCGCACGACAAGGCTGCGCGACAAGGCGCGGAAGGGTATACTGCGCGGCGTGTAAGCATGCAAGCGGCGATCGCGTACCTCTTCCCAGCCGCGCTGAGAGCTGCCGCGCGCCGTGGGCGCGCGCGCACCAACCGCCGCCCCCGCCGGCCCCTCGCCGCGTCTCGAGTGTGGGACCTGTCAGGGAAGGTTCGGGCGGTGCGAGGCCGCCGCGCCAAGCACAGTGTCAGCACTGGCCACGGCCGCGGCCATCCACGCGCGCCCTGGCAGCGGCCTGTGCGCGCTTGTGCGCGCTCTGCCGGCGGCCCGCGCCTCCATCCCCCCCGACACCGCCGGTAGCTTTGTTGGGTTGAGACATTTCTGCCCAATGGCATGATGGAGCGGTTTCATTTCACGATGAGTCTCGACATGGAAACAAGCTCGACCGGGGTGGAAATATGGACCGAACGGGTCAAAATGCTTCACTTGGAAGAGTGGAAGATTCCAGATTTTTCAGGAAAAGTCCGAAATATTTCTCACATTTTCAGATCCATTTGTAAGTACCGAATGGATATTACGTGCCAAACTGTAATGGCCCTTGGAGGACCATGATCATCTCCCAACAACCGTCCC